GGAGAAATGCGCGAGTCCAAGAGATGCCAGCGGAGGTATACAATTCAGGGAACCACCCACTTTTTTGGCACGGTTGGTAGGCAATTTGGAACCGTGCATTCAACCGTACACAGCCGTGGATAGTGTTTTCAAGTGTTTTGGACGGTTGGTGGATGGATGAAGAGATCGGGAAACTTTGCAGTTTTTTTTCCCCGTCTTACACAGGAAGAATTCACCCCCGTGTCCCTCGTCTCCCAAACGCTCTACTTTTGCACCGGAACACTTTCCTCTGTTTCTTACTCTCCACCTCCTTCCTAGATCGGTCGATGTTGGCCCATATGAGGAAGCGGTCGGTCGAACCTATATCTACCGCACTTTCGTGCAACTCTGGGATCTGCGTGCTCCCTCTATCTGCTAGGATGTACTCGAGGATCGAGTACTCCTTGCAAACTGCCCTGTCTGGTGAACTCCGGTTTAGCGCATTCCCTTCTACCGTTCAACGCCATCAGCTCGTTGCTTCCCAAGAATTCAAGCATCCTCACTCCGTTGTCATTTACTTTGTCTTCTCCGTGTTGCCCGATCACCTGTCCTCTACTGGAAGCTGTCACTAAGCTGGAGTTGAAATCGCCCACCATGACAACTTCTCCCTTCTTGAACCTCTGGACATCTTCCCCAGTTTGTCCAAAGTTCTCCTTCGCCTTGCTTGCGACTTTCTTCGACGACGGTGGTACGTACACGTTCCCTAGGAACAAATCTTTCTCACCACGCTCCCCAAGTATCTTAAGCCATAGGCTTTAGTCGAACTCCGTTTTCACCACTACTTACACCACGTCAAAGAAGTGTTCCTTGATCAGGAATCCGCCTCTCCCCTCCCCCCTTTTCTTCAGGTGTACGCCCTCTCTTGCCTTCCCTACCCACTGGTATTTCCCTGTAGTTTGCTTACCTCGTGTGTCTCCATCCTTCAATTCCCACGTCTTTTGGAGCCCCACTACATCTAGATCGCCTTGTTCTACTTGGTCCACTATTTCCAACCGTTTGCGCTCACTCCTTGCGAACCCACACACGTTCCACGATCCCACTCTCAGCTTGTGCGTTTCCCTATTGGAGATTTTGCGCACCCTATCGTTCGCCTTCCGCTTCTTCTAGGCGTTCTTCTGACTTGCCTGCTCGCCTACCCCGCTCGGTCCCTTCTTCGCCTCCATCGCCCTCGCCTCTTGTCTCCTTTCCTTCTTCTGTTTCTGTCATGTTCGCGATGCAAACCCTCCAATCAACCTTCCTTACGTACTTCGACAGCTTCTCGATGTCAACACCCATCCATGCACTCTCTGCTGTCTCCCTTGGTCAAGGTCACCCGCAAATGTTCATGCTCTCTGCCTACTTCTCCCCTTGCTAGGCAGTGCCGTCCCTCCTTGTCACAGCAGTTCTTAAAGTCTATCCTCTTCATGTCCCTTGGAATCCCAAACAGCAGCAGCTCCATCCGTTCTCCCTTCCACAGCTTCTGCATGCAACCTCTCGACTTCTTCACCATCCTCATGATCTCTACGTCAACTGGGCCGGGGCCACTTGACTTTCGTGTGTTTTCAGGAAGGTATACGGAATACTCGACCTTCCCAATCCGAGTGTCCGGTGGGGGTTGTGGTCCCTTTAGCTTCTTTTGTCGGCTCACCGGCGCTAAATAACGCCTCCAACATGGGCTCGTAGTCTACATCCAAGTTCCCACCTCCTGGCACAAGTATCCCAGTCTTGTGCCTGGCGCTCTGCTTAGTAAACGCCCAGATGTCCCCCGACCACTCAATTCATCATCTCCGAACTCCCGCGGTACAGGCTACTTTCCTCCTGGGAGGCCATTTTCACCACAATAAGTTCAGGGATGACTTGCATAGCCCAAGATCCTACTCACACGCCGAGATGGAGCGTACACCAACGTCCAGCTTCTCATATACGCTCCACCATGGGTTGCTACCCCACTTACGCTCCCGAGTAGACCTATCAGCCGAAAGTTTGGCCAACAATTCCCTACTGCTTTTACTCGCCTCTCTCCAATCGAAAAACAATGCATTGTGCGTGCCGCACATAGATCTAACTCCGCATTTCTTGCGTGGTTGGTCATTCGTTTGTCAGTCTGTTCTCGACGTGAGTAAATACGCTTTGCTTTGGTGGCTCCATGTTTTTTAGATCCACCTCCGGCAACGAACACCCCCCCCCCTTCACCGTCCGATCAATTTTGGATCTCACGCCGGAGAGTTTCGGGGTGTCTTAACTCTGAAGTCCTCCACCGCCTAATGGAGACTAGTATCTGAATAGGCATTAACCTTGGGTAGGCTTGCGCCTATTTTGGACTGTGCCCCCCTCTGACTCTGGGGGAGGGAGAGAGGGGGGTGAGGGGAGGGGGGGGGCTCTATTTCCAGGGGGGGTCGGGTACGGGATCGGGTTTTCATAATGCTGCACTATGTTACTTGTGGGTTTTCATTATGCAGCACCCTCCACTCAACGCGTCTATGTGTCCGGCAATCTCAAACAACAATCAACCATGAGGTGTCCGTATGTAGCTATCCTCACTCAACACGTCTATGTGTCCTGGCGTCTCAAACACCAATCCACCCGTGAGGTTTCAGTGTGCAACTATCCTCACTCAACGCGTCTATGTATCCGGCAATCCCAAGCAACCATCAACCCGTGAGGTTTCAGTATGTGAGGTTTCAGTATGCAGCTACCCTCACTCAACGCGTCTATCTATGTGTTGGGCAATCTCAAACAAACATCAATCCACCTGTGAGGTTTCATGATACAGCTATCCTTACGAGTTGTGTAAGGCACTCTCGCACACCAATCAGTCATTGGAGTTTCAGTATGCAGCTATCCTCACTCAACGCGTCTATGTGTCCGGCAATCCCAAGCAACCATCAACCCGTGAGGTTTCAGTATGTGAGGTTTCAGTATGCAGCTACCCTCACTCAACGCGTCTATCTATGTGTTGGGCAATCTCAAACAAACATCAATCCACCTGTGAGGTTTCATGATACAGCTATCCTTACGAGTTGTGTAAGGCACTCTCGCACACCAATCAGTCATTGGAGTTTCAGTATGCAGCTATCCTCACTCAACGCGTCTATGTGTCCGGCAATCCCAAGCAACCATCAACCCGTGAGGTTTCAGTATGCAGCTACCCTCACTCAACGCGCCTATCTATGTGTTGGGCAATCTCAAACAAACATCAATCCACCTGTGAGGTTTCATGATACAGCTATCCTTGCGAGTTGTGTAAGGCACTCTCGCACACCAATCAGTCATTGGAGTTTCAGTATGCAGCTATCTCATAAATTGACTGATGCTTG